GAGCGAGACAGAGAGAGGGAGAGGCAAAATAGAGGAAAAGCAGTTTATCCTTATTATAGCAAATGACATTAGCTACGTATATAAGGAGTTATGACACAAAATACAACCTCATAGTCGAAATTCATGACACCAAGGCGCCGGGATTTCCAAAAGATACGTAATGCCACAATCGTGCAATAAAAAAAAAACCGTGAATCAAATATAACTTTACGTTGACGAGGTAATTTACGGAATAGGAAACCGTATAAGGTTAAACGTTCCCGAATGGCTGTTGCGATAGCCGGATTTTCATTCGGAATAATACACAATCGGCAGTAATAAAATTACGATAATGAAATATTCGGACTAATGACGGCGGTTTCATGGCGACATGAATTCAACATTTGTCTGCCTGATTTGACAAAATCAACCAAGTTACGACGTGGTGCTTAGAACGCAGGGTAAATAGCGAGCAGTAAATAAAACGATATTGATTTTTGTAGGAACGTGTTGTTGCAGCCGGGCGCTGGAAATACAAAACATTTCCATGAGAAAAAAACAGCTACAGAGGTTCTCTTGGGATTTACGAATGCAAATTGAAAGATGAAATCACGCAGGTGCACCCTGGCGGAACGTTAAAAATTAAGGAAACGTCGCTTACAATTAGTTGCGGATGCGAATTAAAAGAAACGTTAGCTTCCTTCGAAGACAGGCCGTCTGAATCTTTAATGACTTGGTGTTGAGATAGATATTCGAATTTTGTTTTAATATTATTAAAAAGCGTTACGATCTAAATAGCGCCGTTATTATCGTAAAGATAAACTGCTGCAAATTAAACGTGTTGTACGCTATCAGTTTGTATGCTAATAGAAAAACGTGTGGAACATTTTCTGAAATAATATTGGGCAATTTCCTGGAGGCCGAAGCGTAGCTAAATCGATGACTCTGTGTGTGTATACGCTGTCAGTGTCTGCTTTTACAAAATTAGATAGCGTAAATATGGCGTCGTATAACGAGGAATTAAACGGGGGGGAATATGACGTCGCCGGATGGCGTGATCCGCGTGTCTTAAGTAAGTAAAGTACGGTCTTTAGCTCGCGGTGTCACGGAGCGAAATAAAGGGTCACCGTCGTCGACAACTAGATTATTCCGCGGTGAAAATGTTCCGCAAGGAGGGAAGGGAGGCAATTACGAAATATGCAGCGGCGAGCTTATCCTTCGTCGTTGGGGGGACTATAGTAAGAACTTTCCGGCGGCGCGGCGCGGTAGGGAAAGAGATCCGAGAAAATGGGCCACACGACTGTCACGATCGCTGACAATCCAACGATTCTCGCGAAGTCGCAAAAATAACGGTAAACTCGTGCCCGAGGCGCACGGGGCGCATTTATTCCTCTCTAGAAAACGTCAGGTTCGATCTCGGCGAAGTAGACCGCCAAGGCAGAAGTAGAATGCGACAGTGAGGAATTTTTCGAGTTGAGTATAATTGTTTAAAAATGGAAAATCGTAGAGTAACCTGGGAAATGGGTGTAAGTAGAGTGGAGTGGAAAAGTTTTAGAAGCAAGGAAAAAAAAGAACCTCTCGGGATGAGTTATTTCCTCGCAACTTCCAATGTCCCCGCAACAAATTATGTTCCTAACAGGCGCAATGATGTACCTCCGTCCCTACGTTCCTGGAAACGGAAACTTTATACACGCAAAAGGAGTCAAGACGCAATTTCAACGGCGCACGCCGTTTTCCTACGGACATTTCGCAATTATCGCTATTAAAGGGCACCACTTCGATCTCTCGATAAAACGAGCCGAGACTTCGTATCTGAGCGGATTGAATTTCGCCCGACTGACTGCCCTCGAATTATCTCGCGCGTGCAGATGAATTATCTCTCGTGAAAATAACCTGATTCGCCTGTGATCGTTCATCGACGACGCTCGTCGGAAGGATTTGAGTGTATATCTATTATACGCGAGAAATTTGCAATCTCGACAGCGAGCTACCGGCGGGCCGGGCTATCGCGCATGTATCTCGAGTTCGAAGTAACACGGCCTTAACGGTAAGGAAGACGGCTTTTTCGAAGACGGGTGGCAGACTCGAGCGATCGACTCGAGAGGAGAGCAGGGAGACTGCGCGGGGAGGAGATAAAGTGGGATGGCGATCGAGCGAAGTGTTGAAGAGTTGAACAAGAGACGGTAGAGTGGCGGCAGAGATCGGCCGCTGCAAGAAGAACCGATAAAAGAGAGAAAGAGATGGAGAGAGGGGGTGGGTGAAGATAGTCGATCGCTGAAGAAAAGATGGGGGAAAAGAAAAGGGGGCGGAGAAGACGGAGGGCGAGATGGACAGACGCATCGACGAACGGAAGAGAATAGGTGAGAGAAGTGCAGCAGGGGTGGGAGAGGAGTCAATGACTCGTGAACTTTTCGCATCGATTGCAAATATTTAAAGCACGAGGTCAGGGAGAAGTGACAGGCGATGCGAAATTCAATTTCGTATACGTTTCACTTTGACGCGTTCCTGACCGACGAGTCGAAGGACGGGATTGTTCGCACTTCGGGGAGACAACGGGAGATACTGGATATGTAATGTCGCGAGTGACCGCTCGCGACGTCGTCGTCGTCGTCGTCGTCGTCGCATATAGACGAGGAGCAGCGTTTAACGTCGCGCGAAGTTTGCAACTCAATTTTCATGGTGACGCCTACGTTCCCTCACCACTTTGTCGCGTCTTGATCGATAAGTGCTCGTGAATGCGAACGCAACGCAGACAATTCAGACACACATGCACACCGTGTGTTCGCGCTGTATCTCGATTCTCGGCACAATTACGGCCGTTATGCCTCGCTGTCTCACGGAGCGGAACCGTGAGCGTTCTCGCGCACGCGGTGATTCTGAACGGAAAAATTTCGACGATTCGGCTTAACATCGTTTCAGTATTATATGGCGGAATGTAGCGGGCCGGCAGTAATTAACCGTTCCGCTGAAATTGCATCGATTCGCTCTCCCGGGTCATCGGTTACGCATTAATGAACACGAATCGAACGCTTAAATGTCGTAATACCACGAGAAACGCTATTGAATTTTAATCACTGTTTGGCCGGGGAGGGTAGCTCATTTCTTTCGCGAAAAGCATGATGTCGTACGCCGCCGATTTTTAACGTGTCGAAGATAACACGACGCTATTCACGACGCCGCTAGCAAAACTGCTCCGCAATCTGCATCTATTATACTTGTCGCGATGTCACGATATCATACGTCGCATTACTTTGCTGCCCCTCCTACGATTTGCATGAAACATTAAGGGTGCATCGAAATACATCAAAGCCAGCACGACAAGCCTTCGGACACGCACGACCAGGCTTCGCCTGTGGTCACATTGGCGAATCTGAAAATGTGCCACAAGTATATTGACACGCGCTCGCTTTGGACATCAAATCAAAGATGTCCAAATGCTCAATGGCTTCTCCTTATTGAAGAAACCATTAGATAAATAATGAAAAGAGAAGAAGCTCCTAGCAAACCTCAAATTACAACCACAATATATTGCAGCAACAATATAGTATTTCTGCAATATAGCTGAAATGTTGCTGCAGCATTGCAGTTATAATGTGTTTGCTGGGACTAGATTTATGGGTTGCACATTGTCACTACATTGTCCTAGAATCTCCTTCCTAATATGAACCTTGAAGTCGATCAGGAGACCCAACTGTCTTACTAAGCGCTATTCCGTTCCAGCTTGTCGCTAGCAGTTCGTGTAATAGAGAGATCTCCCAGTTCGAGCAAACTGGCTGATACGTAATTGAGATCAACGATGTGAAAAGCCCAGGCGAACGACAAAAGGGAACGACCGAAAAAGGAAGGAGGTGAAGACATCAACGAGAATTCACGCGGAAATCGCGGTTATACTCTACTCACAAATTACAATTTAACTCGCCTCGTACGCCTCTGATTGGCGCTCCTAAGTTCGAGAAAATAGCGTGTCGCAGACTTCTTTCTCGCCTCGAAAGAAAGGCTTTGCGTCGGAATGAGGGCGAGTTTCCCCGAATTTGATAGAAATAACAAGCATTCTTTTTACGTTATGTTATATAAAGGTGCTCGTCTATTTGGCACTTGTTACGCAATTTGCGCATTATACGCGATTAAGATAAAATACAAGTAAAGTTCCAGAATGAGGTAATTAGCAGCTCGTTAAAAGGGACGGAGATTGAATTAGTTCGCAGCTTAATGGCATTTAATGTTGCAATTCGAGAAGTTATAAATTACATCGCGAGAAACCAGCGGCGGCGGTAATATTATATGATTCGTTTACACTTGCAGCTCTTCCTCTCCGCCCGAGAATTTGCGCCGTTATATATTCCAACATTTTTCTTATTGTTATAACAATAGATATATTGTGCGAATGATATTCTTGTGCGCGGACGTTTGCGGCACGGGGCGCCCGAAGGCGCGAGCATGACATTGACAAATGTATGGAGGCTCCATTGTGAAAACCTATTGTACACGCGCGCGGCAATAATCGGCCGCGGTACACCTCGTTTTGTTCTCTATCTCTGTCTCCTCCGGTTTTGTGACCGCGGGGTAAAACTGTCGGATGGATGACATAGGGAGGCTCGGGCGGGCGTGTATCGCAAATGTATCGCGTGCACGCAGGCCAGATAAAAGTCGCGGCGAGAGCCAAGAGGCGTGTCACGTTACTCGTACTCGAAAGCGTTACGTTTTGAATCCTCTTGCAATTGCAATTGCACCGAGGTTTAAACCTTTCTACAAGTTATATATCAAATGTCATGGCGACACACACACATACACACGGTTAAGCCGCTACAAAAGCTTTCCTTTCCAGTGTGTTTTCGCTTTATTAAATATCACGCTAACAATTATATATACAAATACCGACAGTTACAATTTAATTTAATCCTGCCAGAAGCAACTTGACTTTATGATCGGAATCTCACAAAAGGGTCGGCACAATGCCGAGAATATAAAATTATCACCATGGAAACTGTTTGGGCAAGCTGAAAAGTAAATCGTTTTCTTACCTTCGAAACGGGAAAAAGCGACGCTCTCGTTTCCTTTCTCTCTTTTCCGAGAAGGAGATTTAATACCTTATCAAACCAGGTACAATCATTGCCGAGATTCGTAGCACTTTACACATAGATAAAGTTTATAGGCCGTTTCTCCGAGCTTTCGTTTTCGTTGTCGATACTTAAGAGAGGTAGATTATTTAACGGGGAGGGGGCTACAGACGAACCAACTTTAACATTTATAATAATTGAACGTGGAAACTTTAACACGACGATTAAATAGTAATTGACAACATTCGTTTGGTCGTTAAGCGTCACCTTTTCTCTCTCTCTCTCTCTCTCTCTCTCTCTCTCTCTCTCTCTCTCTCTCTCTCTATCTCTCTCTTTTTAAACGGCTTTTGCGCCTATGTTTCCTCTATATCATCTTCATCAACGGCATACATATGTATATACACGTATACACATACATATATGTATGTATAGATTTATATAGATTTTTTTTATACGGCGATATATCTCTCAAACTTGGAACAAACGGTAAATTTTATATAATCACACTCCACACAAATTAGTATTATTATATATATATATATATATATTCAGAAGAGGATTATAATATTAATAGGACTTTTTTTTTCATTACTGATGATGACATTATCGTTAGATCAACACAGACCAGTTTGTAATCCATCGAGCAAGCGCTCTCGCGCGCTCGATTTTATCCTCTCTACACTCGATATGTCACGAGATATCACTCATTCCACACGGCGCTGGGCCCCCTACGTATGTATCCAACTGGAGTACTGGACTCGCATCCTCGATCCGCGAATTCCTCTCCTCTCCAGTTTCGCCGGTTCTTCCGTTTCGCGCAATTTTACGCTACACCGCACGTAAAATCCTCTCTCTTTCGCTCTTTTTTTTTCCGCGCAACACTGGTGTAGAACAATACCACTGAAACTTCAAAACACTCTTCTTGCAACTTGATTCTCGTGTGTCCAGATTTTCTTCGCGCACTCTCCTCGTCGGAGGGATCTCTAGATGGTTACGACGAATCCGTAGTGGTATCCACTGAAAGCACAAACACGTGTTCGGTCGATCGTGCCGCCGTCTCATAATTCGCTCACGTCGGAAACGGCAATTGTCCCTCGTCTTTTTTCAACGACCGATGCACACACATACACGTGTGCGCGCATCGTACACTCGGCTTTATCGCCGGCTTGACGCCAGGCCTCAGGAAGGAAGCTCGTTGTCGCCGCTGATCGCGTGCGGTACGTTTAAGCGGCAACGTGCTACGAGAAGGTAAGACGGATAGGCGGGATTCGATTTTCTCTCGTGCAATATATACATATATATATATATATATCTTCCTTTTTTGAGCACGAAACTCGAAACTACACTTGTATATTTGTATAATTTTGTTCCGAAGAGATGTTAATGGACAAACGAGCGTCTACCGGAGCGTTTTAATATTTCAAGCTGATTGTGAGTTTCACTTTGTGAGCTCTGATAACCTACGAGGAACGTTTCGCGTGTAATTTCATCATCAAGAACTCGTAACTTCCGTTACGTTACGTAGGGTGAGCATTGAATCTCGCTCGTAATCAAGAAAGTTCCGAGAATTATTTTATTACTTCGTCCATTCGATCATGAAAGTTACGAGATTAGCAAATTTGCATTTCGCTTCATTTTGAGAGACTTTACGACGAAGTTCCGCGTTTGTAACTTGATAGTTTACGTTATTACAAACAGGCTTCGGGAGAAGAAGATAGCGGTCCCTTGAACCGGAAAACTAACTTCCTCGAAATAAAATAACTGGGTTCTGGCCTGCCCTCCGTTCGCCGTTCCTTCGTAATTGTTATGTTAATCGCAAAGTAATTAAGTGCAGTTGCAGCATGGGAGTAAAAATGTTAGTGGCCTCGAATCTCTATTTAGCCAAGATTTACAGTCCCGTTTCTTTTTTTACTTCGCCAATAAAGTGAGCATTCCAATTTTATATCCCTGTCCTACGCGGCGACTATACAAAGTCCATGGAAAGTTCATTGACGGGTGCGGTATTCGCATTCCGCGTGCATATTTTGTTTTCTACATTTATTTAAAAAAAATACAACGTGAATGAACTCGCTGCGTTAATTTTAAGAAAAGTGCACAAAAACATCATCAAGAACTCGTAACATTACAGAACATTAAAGAACCTATTTATTGCGTTAAAGATAAATACCACATTATGAATTAAACAGCGCGTCGTAGCGCATTGATTGGGAACATATTTATTCAAGTAACGTTACTCTATGATGTAACGCGACCGATATCGGATTGAGTTCCGCGAAACTTTTTGTACTTTATATGTACAAATTAATTACAATAATTATCGATTCATCATTCCGCTCTATTTTTATCGAAGCTTCGAGAATTTAATATTCGTCGTGGAAATACTCCTTTTTTGGCGATAATTGAGACAACTCATTCGCGATATATCAATTTTCAAAAAACCGCGATAAAATTTTACTACGTTGATTGGGAAACCAGTCGGGAGCTAATTTGACTATAAGAGCGCAGGCCGTAAAGATACAGTCCCGTTACAACAAGGGATTCTCGTAGCACCCCGAAATTGCCTTGCCGGGCTTTATTTTGCTCAAACCGTGCGAATCCGGGAAGCCCATCATCTGTTTGTCTAACGGTATCGATCCTTGCCGGTATAATCGGCCAATATTTTTCCGATAAAATAGGATATCCAATATATCCACCTTTATATTGTTTTTCTCTGCTTAGATTGGAAATTTTGAATGCCAATTATGCAAAATTTTTAATCGATACAGAGTAACAGAAATTATTCTGTAAATAATGTATCCTCCGTACGCAATTAATAAATCTTTTATTAATAACCAATTAATAACAAATTAATTTAAAAGTTATATACAAATAATTCAGTCCATGAGAGAGCTGCTATCGAATTTCAATCTTCCAACTTTAATTATTAATCAAACGATAATCGATTTCGGCATGTATATCACCGAGTTACAAGGGGGAGGCCGGCAAATTATACTTTGATTTCTTTTCTTTACATTGTAAAGGAAAATAAATCCGAAAAAAAATACGCGCTTACGTATCGTAATATTCGCGCACTCGCGAATTTTCACGCGAAAGAGTTTTCACGCCTGTCCGCGAGTTCTCACGCGAGTTTCCGAAACGGAAGGGACGACGCGTTGCGTTTTTTTTTTTTGCGCGGACGAGGGCTTCACGCGAGAACACGCCGCCGCGTGGGGTACACGCTGCTATACACTCCCGGGGTTCCCCTTCGGTCAGCACACACGCTATCCCGCAGTGCGAAAAGCCCTTTTTTCCTCCCCGTACGTTGGGACGCACGCACGCGCGCGCACGCACCGTCGACGAAGACGACGCATCGCCGTCGGAGTTCACGCGCACGGGAGAGGGTTTCCTCCACGCCTTAAAATCCTTAAGCGTCGGGGCGTGCTGGCGGGCGCGAGGAGCCGATCTGCGAGAGGCGAGAGGCCGTTCACTCCGCGCCTTCGCCGGACTGTCGTTCACGCGAGTAGTAGCGTCGCTCGGGCTGCCGGCGACGGCGGGACGCCACTCGACGGCGACGGCGACGCCGGCACTTCCTCGCTACCATTATCCACACCTCGTCGTCACTCGGGTCCTTCGCGGGAGGGAGCCGGGGCGCGCGCGTCCCGTGCCGTATATATTCCGGGGAAAAACACGGCGCGTCGGCCGCGAGGGTCGCCCTATAGCTAGTGCGGCGCGGCGTGGCGTGGCGTGGCGACGCGGCGGCGAAACGAGGCGAGGGCGACGTGGCGCGACGCAAGTCCGTGGAAAACGGATCGACGAGAGGGCGGCCGCCTTTTACGGTTACGGTTGTACGCGCGCAGCGGGAAGGCCCGTGTAGGCCGTGTTAAGCACGGCACTCGCTACTGCCGGCTGGTACAACGTGTACCTCCGCTACTAACCTAGCGTGCCCCCGTCCTCTCGCGTCGCCTCGCCTCGCCTCGCCGTTACTCCTTCCCACCACTTCCCGGTGCAACCCCCGCGGACCCTCTCGCCACGACTACCTGGCCAAACCCACCCGCCCCGCGCCCCCGTACTCTCCATATTACGGCGCCGATCAACCCCTAGGGCGCACCAACCACCACCCCTGCCGGCCGCGACGCCATTGCGCATGGCGCAGTGCTGTGTTTTCCCCGCAGAACGCCCGGACGCGAAAGAGATTTTCTTTTCTACGGACGTTCAACTTATCTCTTTCTTTTAACCTTTATAAATGTGTATCTTGACGTTATCCTTAAACTGATAAATTTATTTATGCACGTACGAAATGAGATTTATGAAGGAAGGAAAATATTTTTAAAATAAAGATCGATGAATCCGAATTACAATTTATAATTTTTTTTTTTTGCGCAATTATTCTGCCGACTCGTGCTTCGTTTGCAATTTTCTTATTTGTTTATATGCTGGGTGTGTGTCTATTTTTTTAAGTACGATGCTAGAGGCGCCTCTGTATCCGTGGGAAATCTACCATCTCGGAAATTCACGGTGCTAGATCGAGAATGTTAAAGCAGAGAGCTGTGCATTCAAGCTCGTAGAATTTTCATGATTCCGCTATATGTATCGCGTATGATGAATAAGTATCGCACGTGTTGGATGAAAAGAAACCTCTTTTCTTATATACGGTTCGAAACGAGAAAGACCGCGCGCCCGGACGACCAACGTTATCAAAATCAGATCATGATGCATCGCGCCGTTAGTGTGTCGCGACGGCGATATATCGATCGAGAGACGAATGCGCAAAATTGCGTACATCGCATTCGCGCGGCGATTTGCGAATGATAAAAGCTCGAGTTGTACGAGGCGAGGAGAGAGATGCGAGGCATCTACTGCACGCGATGACTTTTATCTCCTCCCGTTTATTCGCATATTTCTCTCTGGGATTCATCCGTAGAGACGCGCTCGGGACGCGATCTCAGGAGAAATTATATTCCTCACGTGCGGGAGTGAGTAAAAGCGCGGAATGGCGGCGGCACGTTCGCCAAAAGGAAGCGCAAAGTACGATGACACGCACGGCGCCGCCACGCGGCGGTATTCAACCAGTGGTGGCGGAATGGTGGATGTTGACCTACGAGCCAGCCAAGCCAGGCAGGCCCGAATGGATCCTGGTGACTCGGTGACCGATCTGCCGCAATCCGCCGGCAAGGCCGGAGGCTGCCGTCTGAGCTCTGGCGCCCCTGGGGAGACCTAGGTGGATTTGATGGTGAAGATACAAGGTGCGTCGGGCGGAAGAACCAGACAGCGGAGTGCCGGACGATGCACGAGGGACGAGGGTGGTGTTTGCACGCCCGAGTGGAAGAAGAAGAAGAAGAAAACGGGAAACGAGAAGAGAAATGAGGGGGAGGAGGGGCGAGATAGAGAAAGAGGGGACGAAAAGGCAGAAAGGAAAGGTCGTGGTGGTCAGAGAGAGATGGCACACACGGTAGCAGCCACCACGTCGTATACCAACGCCACTTCATATTGATTTTCCGGGAGGGAGGCGGGGGGAGTGGAGGAAAGGGGTCGGAATGGTGGAGGAGAGAGAAAGCGTGAGACAGAGAGAAGCGGGCGAGAGAAGGTGGAGAAGCGTCCAAGGTGGTGAGACGGAGAGAGAGGCCGGGAGGCGGAGAGGGATGGAGCGACCGGTTCTTCGTCGTTAACCACCGTGGCTAACCCCTAAGGTTGAGTCCGGGGAAAATGGCGGGCCGGGCCGAGCGTCGGTACGGCATGAAATACGTATGCGCTTTACCGAGGAGGCATCGCACGCGCGCACAACCGGGAGGATAAAAATCAGAAGTGGGCCCAAATCCATCGTCGATGTCGACAAAAATGTGTACAAACAGAGAGGGATTTGCTGTGAATAATTTAGGCACCGCGGCAACGGTAGATATCCAGTGTTTACATCCGCGAGATCTCACGTTTTTTTCTATTTCTCTGTGAAAAGTATTATTACGCTATTAAGTGATTATATGTATACTGTTACTCTATGTATTATCTCTATGTATTAAGATAAATATAGATGCATCGATCTATCTTAATATTTTATATAATTACGTCTTTTGAGCTTTAAAAATTGTGAATTAAATTAAATTAAAACGCATTATTAAAAATCACGCGCTAAAGTCTTTTTAAATCTGTGCAAATCTCTAATTTATATCAGGTTGCTTGTTCAAGCGGATGTTTGCGTTATCTTTTTAATCAACGGAGATAATGCGTTTTGTGTTGAGTCGAATCGAAGAAAGAGGAAACTTGTGATACTACTTTATCGCTTCAATTTATCTCTGTCTTCCAGTCCATATGTGTACGTCAATTATGTGAGTCTATAGTAACGAAAACCAATGGACGAAGATCGAACAAAAAAAGGAGTATTCGCTTTTTCTAGTACAACATATATCATTTCTACAGCAAAATGTACGAAATGTTACGATTGTATCGTGATGTAAAAATATAATGCGAGGATGAATAAATATGATTTCTCACTAGCGCATTTGATCGCTTTCCAAAGCGTATTAAAAGCGTAAACTAACTGCCTTCGTACAGAAATTTAAAATTTTCTAAAGCTTAAACCTTCGTTTTATCATCACTTGTTTCCATTAATCCGTACGCGACAAAAGCGACATGGAGTATTACGAATTTCCAGCAACATAAACGTCAACCGCTTCGGTATCCCTCGTCGCGTTTGCATGTAACTCTAATCCGAAGACAGTACGACACGTATTAATCTGGTCGTTCATAATAGTTAGGCGCTACTTTGTCCCGACGTAACAGGAAGCTTGTTAACCAATCCCACAGTCGCACATGCGTGCCCACGTGGATCGTTATCAAAATTAAACGATGATCTCACTCCCATGTGTGAGCCGCAGTCATCCTTCTTGTGGGAAACGATTCAATGGCTCGATTCTCGCCTCTCCAGAATGATTAAAACCGTGTGATAACGTCTAGTATAGTTACAAATGCGCCGACAGTTCGTACTATCTGACGCGGAAATCATCCCTCATTTCGTTACACTCATATGATTATTATTGTAATCAGTTCTCTGTGTTAAAATAAGCAAAGGAGAATATATATTCATATGTATATATACTATTATTATTACACATAAAAGCTTAAAATGAGAGGTCAGATGTAAAATGGAAACGTGGTAAAACAGGAATGTTTTAATCCTGTCAGAGAGGTAGAGAAAGGTCATGTACCGCGACGTGAAAAGAATAAGAAGGGATCTGCCAGAGGAAAGTTAAAATGGCTCGGGCATGGACACAGGTCATGTCTAAACTTCCAAACTTCTGTAATTAAAGGACTGTACAGTTGGAAAAACGGGGGATATACTATGTACGCTTTCAGTAGTAAAAAAAATCGACTTAGTACGCCGTCTCATTATAACTGTACTCTGCGCTAAAAGTGCTAAGAAGATACCTAAACGTCTCTCAATTATATATAATTAAACGTCACTTATAAATTGATAATACAGTCGCGCGTATCTCATCAATCTCACGTGACATTAAATATTTAAATTTGTCCAAGTTTAAACCACTCCTTCTCGTAAGTATCGATCGACCGAGAAAGCCAGATTGAAGCTTGCGCACGTGTAAAGAACATTTTTAGTGATGAAAATAATGTAACCGTACGCCGTTCAGAAATAATCTCTCGGACAATTACAACAAAATTGCAATTAATTTTCCAGCATTACTGAGTATCGAGATAACGGGTGACACTATACCCATTATGCTCGTAGCACGGCGCTGTGCAATTTTTCCGCGGGATGCATTTTGCATCTAGGGAATATAGAATTCAAGATGGAAATGTGTTTATCCATAAAATTAAAGAATAATATTTGCTCGTAAACTCCACGTCCACGGCGGAACGTTTTTTAAGTATATTTTTCAAAAAAAATGTGTAACGAGATCGCAGAGAACTTTCTCGTTTGCAAATCGAATTTGTCATAGTTAATTAATTGCTCATCGACGGAGCAATCGATAAAGCCTGATGTGGTAGCCCGGATATGAAGCCGAGAACACGCCAATGGCCACTTGTTGTTGGTGGTACCGTTGTTACTTAGGCATTTGAAATGATTGCCCATTTTCACGAAAGGTGGGGTAATCAATCGCGCCCGTGGCCGAGAGGGCAACGTTTCGCTTTGTCAAAGTCAGTCATAATCGATTTTTACGTGAATCTGTGCGGTCGGTTCTGCTTTATCGTGTCATCGGTTCCATGCTTTGTCGGTCGCGCTGTTGGTTTGGCCGGTCAAACAGCCGCGAGCGTTTGTTTTCTACAATTGGGTTATTATGCGGCCCGTTTAACTTGTCAAATTCCATCATACGAGATACACGGCTAACATAGGCTAAAGCGGAAATAATTTATGCCGCGAGTGCGCGAATATCGCAGTTCCTTCGGAATTCCTTCAGGCAATTTCTCTCGAGCGCGTTCGCATCACAATTTCCCACAATAAAAGGAGAAGTATAATACGGAGCTTAGCGGATAAGCATCGAGCTCGAGTATAGAGGTCCCGACGTCTTCGTTGCTGCGTGCAAACAAAATTTGAATATCTGCAGTTATGGGATGGAAGGTCAGTCAGCCCGAGATTTGCGAAGCGAATGAAGAATGGGAGTAAAAAAAAGGGTGGCAAAAAGGATAAGTACGATGAGATAAAAAGACGAGGAGAGAGAGAGAGAGAGAGAGAGAGAGAGAGCAAGTTTTACTTGATTCCGGCTTAGCGGAAAGCCGGAAGTGCAGTGTAACAAGGCGGCGTACTCTCTATAGGTTGCTCCGTAGCGAGAGGTCAAAGAATAGATTACAAAAGCAAAGGAAATTAACCGTCCTGAAAATGAAGCAAGCAGGCGCAAGCAAGTTCCGGCAATATCCTCCTATCTGTTTTTCTCTCTTTCCCTCCCTCCCTCCCTCCCTCCCTCCTTGCCACCTTCGCGGTCTAAAACTTTCTGAAAGCTCTAGTACGAATCCACGTCTCTTTCCATTTTTCTTCTCTATCTTATATCTTGACTTCGTGTATAATCTCGAATAAACTTACTTTACATACGAGATGCCGATATGATGGCGAACACTAGCGCTCGGTTACATGCATTTGCTCGCCGATATATGCAAATTTGGTTTATGATTATATGAAACTTATTTCGGTCGGCTTTAGAGCTCCGCATGCGCTCGCTTTTTATCCGACAAACATTGCGGAAAGGTAAGAGAGGAGTGAAAAAATAAATATGCCCACTTTCATACAGGAAAGAAAAAATGGTACAAGAACACCCGGAAGTACTGCGTGACGAATGGATTCGGGCAGAAATACTATTATGCGGTCATTCGGGTGTCGTTTGCAACTCGCGAGACCGAGGTTTGCGTTGTTCCCGTAACAGAGTCGTAAGTTAGACATTCCCGCTTCCAACCGCTATGACAACTGTCTCGCTCATTTCCCAGTCTGCCAGCAACGACGAGTCAGCATTTTCGGTTGTGATCGATCGGACGCCCTCTTCAATTACTTAGTAGGCGAAGCAGCTCCGAGTTTGTGTGCTTGGAAAACGGCCAAGGGGTCAAAACGCAACAAGCTTGCCCGATCATTTGGAAGATTCGAGGCAGCCGTTTTCAGCTCCGTGTTTATTCGGGGACCGGGGAGCGATAAATAAATTGGATGAAAGAGCGAGCGAGAAAGAGAGAGAGAGAGAGAGAGAGAGAGAGAGAGAGGGAGAGAAAGAAAAGGGAGACTTTACAGCGCCTCTTACAAACGTGACAAAAGAAGCTGAGACATTGTTCCGACGAGAATCTAATTCGATCACGTCGAGTAAGCGCGAGAAGCTCCGCTGGATGCCAGAGATTTAGAATTTAGGGGTGAGACGCGGTGAATGGGGTTGTCGAAAGTTCGGGACCCTACAGTGGAAAGCACTTAAAAGCATATGAAATCGGCGCGCCACACGTCGTCGGAGGGGGAACGAGACACGTTCGTGAGAAGCTCCGAAGACACGACGGGAGAGACTCGATATTGTATAAGAGGCGGAAAGAGAGTCGAGGGATAAGGCGAAATGCGCGCGAGACGCGTAAAATACAACTGCCGACAGCCGGCCCTGTTATTTCCGGCAGGATACCAAGTCTCGCAGCGTGTTGTTAGAGAAAATCTCGCTCGTCCCACTTCCAAGGAGCGCGCGTTCCACGTCAGCTGTTCTCTCTCTTTTTTACTTTCCAGTTTCTTGAGACCACCCCCAAGCTCGTCTGCACTTTGTTGCTCATCGGGCGAGGGTTCGACGACGCCCGTCAGTTACCCGGCGATCTTCTCCCTTACTCCCTCCCCCCCTCGGCCCTCTCACGGCAAACGAGCGCGTACACGGGAACACCTGTTCTCGATTACGGAGAACTTGTCTCGAAGCGCGCGGGGGCTTGTTCTGCTGTCCGGAGCACGGAACACCTAATGATAATTAATGAGATCTCGGACGAGTAAAAGGGCTGAGCGTTCGCGATATCATTTATTACGGAAATGAGCGGCTGGACGAACAATACGAGATCGAAGAGCGAGGAATTTACATTCGACGAAGCTGAGAGCTCTCTTCGCGGAGGCGAAGAAGAAATCGTTAAAAAAAACGGTAACAAACGTTAAACGTCGCGGTAATTGCCGCTTGAATTTCCTCGGAGAGTGTTTCATTAATATATTACTTACGTTAATATATTATATTAATATAGCACACGTCGACACACACACGTATAGATAGATCCTCTCTTCGTATATATGCATATGTTTCTTCCCGAGAGATGGAATGGGGAAGAGATTGGTGCGGCAGATGAGGCGAGAAAGAATGGTGACGGCGACCGTAAAGGCGTAGGACGACGAATTAACCGAGGCGGGCGCATGCCCGGCTTGGCGAAAATCATTAATTAAGCGGGAACTAAATGCATGAGGAACAAGCCCCCCTCCTATCATAACTTCCGCGCGACCTCGTAAATCACAACGAGGGTTTCCCGTATGGCTTCTTTCGCCGCACTTGCAGCTGCACGGACGCGGCGGCGTTGCAACGCAATGTTTCGCGTCGCTATCGGGGCGCGAAAGCGATCCGCTCCATTCGATGCAAAGCGAATGCGTGACCGAATGTACTCGTGAAACGAATGAATTTCAACGAGGGGCAGATGGATCGTTGGCCGCTGGGATTGTGGGAGAGAAATCGCGCCGTTGAGAGATTTATCGATTACCGATTATTCCTCGTCGCGGGTCTGCAGGTCACCCGATTCGACCGACGCGCGACATCGTAGCTATCGTTTCATTAGCCGCGCTGAAAATAAGATCTAAATGATGTTAATGATTTTCGATAATCTCGTTCGCGAGTAACGAAAGCGGAATTTCTCCTCCATGAGCTGAGGGGGACATCAAGCGTGATTTCGTTGGAACAGCAGTATAATTTCAAAATGAAATCTACAGATTTCGCCTCTCCTTTCGGCGGATGATACTATTTTCGCGACGATCGAAGTAGTCGCAGGTCCGCGAGGTCCGAGACCGTTGCGAAACTTCGACGGTGATGCTCTTAGCCTGCCTCGTCGAACGAGTTATATTCAGTTTCGCTCCTCCGATAACGTGCATACAGAAGTATCCCGTCGCGCGGGAGAACGGAAAGGCAGTAACAAGAATAACCCCTCTGCCGGTCGGTCGATAATTTCGCCGGCGATCGTCGAGACGCGGCAGGCAGTCCGAAGATGCGTCGTCCGCGGGAGAATTCCAATTAGGTGATTCTGGTCGGGCGAACTCTGGAGCATCACTATCTTGACCTCCGGAAACTATCTGGCGGCCCGGCCGGAGGAATCATTTACATAAGGTCGAGATGAGTTTGAAACACGTCACGTTAACGGATGATGTTAATTATAACCGATGACGTCTTGTAGGCGTAAGTCCATTTACTACATCTACGGTCCTGCCGATTACTTCGAAACAGGGCGAGTTGTATATGAGTTCGGTCAGTCGCTCCGTTCCAGTTCGATCGGTCGATTGTCTCGCAAAGCGGACCGTCCGTGTCCGATGCTTACGTGGTAGTTTCTCTTAACGGCAATTCGAGGTTATCGATGAACTCCTTGATGGCGGGCAATAAAACGAACGGCTGAGGCTATATGCAACGTAATGTCGCTCGATAGGTATATCTTATAGATCGTCTTTTCTCCCTCCGTTTCCCTTCAAGCCTTTATTCGATAGATCTCATTTATAACGCGACATTTTAACTCTTTTTTAATCAGCCTCATTAGTGCGATAAAAATGAGGTTTCACGCGACCGTTAATCTTCTTAAAAGAAGTAAACTTATCAAATACAAGATAAAATCTGTGAAATTTATTATACGCGTGCACACAACGCGGATCGTTGTCGTGCAATTTTATAATTCTAAATAACGATTTTCTAAAAAAAAAAATATATATATATATGTACAATTCACGAGCCAGCATATCAGTCGTTCTTCATCGGCGGTTCTTAATCTTTGCGTATAACTCCAAGGGAGCCATTGCCGCGCGGAAGTATTCATTCGGTGACTTTATGGACATACGTTGGCAGGTCGTAAGGTGTCTCGTTCTCTTTTATATTGCAACGCGGCGGAAACTATTGGTTCTGCAGGTAGCGACGACAGCGGCGTTGCCTCGAGCTTTCCTTCCTTACGTCGGAGGCGAGCCTCACGGAACACGGAAACCGCGAGGTGTTTACGGCCAGCATAGACCGGTTCGCACGTACAGTTTCGAAGCATTCGGCCGTGCTCGTCCCTCAATTCAACGAGAATTTTGCGGTGTGTATCGCACCGTGTCGCCCTTTCAATACCGGATGTAACCACCGACTTCCCGTCGTTGGCGAACGCTCATCTGCCCCTCCTCCCCCACCCCCCAGTGTCGAGGCATTTCGACGAAAATCACCGCGGGGCGACGCAGTCCGACCCTACCTTGATTGCTAATGTCAACCTTCACGCATTTCATGCGAACCCACGAACCGTAATCGTATCGCCGCACGATAAAAAATCACGCCATTTCTCGGTCGGAAGACCCTCAACGAAAAAAGAAAGAAAACGCCACGAGATCCCGTGCCCTCTCGGCCAAACGGTCTGACAAATTATCGGGAAGAAGACGAATTTCGGACGTTCGAGATAATGTCCTTAGCTATTCCTCGAGATAAATTGAAAGGATAGGTATACGCGCGAGACTGTGCTTGCGTCAAATTTACTTCGTGTAGGCTTGACAAATCGATTGGGCGACTTTTACGCGACACGACAGAACAGAGTAAACTCGGTGTATTCGGTTTGCGTTGAGCGTAGGTCTGATGGAATTTGCGCGTGTAGTTACCATTAGGGAGGAATCCAATATGTGCACCCGCTGTAATGTCTTTAATCAAATTGCATGTGATAAATCGGCAGGATCCGTGCGTGATTTCGTCAAGTGAGGGATGTAATTTGCGGTATGCGCGAAGCAAAGCTCTGATTTCCCAAACATTATACATGTATGTATGTATATGTAAATACTTTCCCAGAGATGAGCTTTCCCGAGATACGTTTGACCTCGTTTTAATACAGGATATAAAAATCATTCTGCGATATTGAAATTCGATTTTGTTTCCTTTTTTTTTGCACAGGTTGCCATTACCCCAAATAAGTAAAAAATTCGCCAAAATTACTACGCAAAGACGCGACGTTTAGACTTAAAATATTTAATTCTAAATTTTTATTTTAATTTTCGTTCATTTTAGACGCATTTACGCACATCTCTCATTTAACAAAAGCATTTCTGAGGATCTCGATTTTCTCATATTTGTGTGCCATCCATATTGTACATCCGTTTTCTTCTCGCAATATAAAAGGGTGGATATATATATATATATATATATGCCACGGAAACTCACTCGTGGCGAGTGTACAAAAGGTAGGGGTAACCCTCAAAGTAAGGCGAAGAAAATGCGGATTTTATCGGTCTCGGTCGACGTGCACGCTACTCTCCAAATGTATCAAATTTCGAAACTATTTAAGCGACCACCGTCAACATACAACGGCGGTCACACGACACTGTTAACCCCTTTTAGAACTGCGAGCACTTTAGGATCAAACTATCGATGCGCCCTTTCAATGTCCGTCAATATTTTCTTAGTTTCCCTAGCCTCTTTCATTTGCCCGGACGATCGATTCCGTTCCAAGCCCCTATAAACAGATATTAAATCGCGGTTTTATTTTATAATCAACGTTCAGCGCTCTTTCGCAATTAAAAGTCGAGCTTTCGAAAGGTGGCCAGCCGTGCGCTGTCAGAAAGCTGCCTGAACAGACACAAAATCGTGAATGTTCATCGCGTGAATGATTCCGCACGGTGGGATAAATAACTTTTTCAACGATTTTAAAACGGTAAAATCGTTACGAATCTCATAGTAAATGTTACATTACTATAGCGATAAAAAGTAAAGTTTTCTACGATAAAAGTAAATATCAGGCATATTGCGCCACGTCTCATGAATATTTAATCGCTGGCCTTGCTTCGTTTGGCGCGCATACACTCACGTCTGTGCATTCACACACATTTCTCCGCGCGCTCTCGACCGATATATTCTAATGCCTGTGGCCGGTCGTCAAGCTTTACACACGCTTAAACGCTGATTGTTCCGATCGTAATCGCAGAAGGTGATTGGAGTGCATTTCTAAGATTTCAATGGGTATAACACAAGGGAGATGTATGGCAATAATAGCCAAGTCGTATTTTTCTCATTACATTTATGACGTTCGAATTAATTTAATAAAAACACCTTATGAGTTTTTTCTATATAATAACCCTATAATCATCTTATAATTATATCCTATAATTATTTATAAATTCCCTTATAATAAAAAATATTTTACGCAGAAAAAGTCAAGCTTTGCCTTGTACCATTAACTGAAAAATCGTATGATAATCAAGGACAGTTTTTTTTTACCAACAGTTTGCATCTTTTTTATTCCTATGTATTGGGAATTTTGGAATGGTAATGTACTAACATGCATGTTTTGATACGACTTATAAATCCTTTATAATAAAAAATATTTTACGCAGAGGAAGTCAAGCTTTGCTCTGTACCATTAACTGATATTGTATATGATAATCAAGGACAGTTTTTTACCAATACACAATTCGCATATTCATTATTCCCATTTATTGGGAATTTTGGAATGGTAAATGAGTATCTATACTATTGTAACAGCATACATGTTTTGATACGATAATGATTAGTGGCAGAGCATTGTGCAAAAATAGGACTCACCTGTCGC